ATTATTTCAGTTATTATTTTAATAATATTATTATATTCTATATCATAATTATATAATATATTATATAATAATAGTTTTTTTGTATTATATTAAATATAATAATAAATATATATTATATTGTAATTATATATATATATTATAATATAATATAATAATAATTTTTAACTATCCATAGTAATTCAACATCATAATTTACCAAATACTATTACACTGATTTTAGAACCAGCATAACTATTATAATTATAGTTTATCAAACACTTAATTATTTTTTGTAACAGCTGCTTTTTCTTTGACACAGCTAAAAGTAATTTTTTTAAAATCTACAGCACTACCAAATTAAGCCAATGTCTTTTTCAATTTACTTCTTCACATGTGATATTGGTTCTTTATTCTGTTCTTTGTTTTTTGTTTTTTGTTTTTTGTTTTTGTTTTTGTTTTTGTTTTTGTTTTTTTGCTTTATCTTTTTTCAACGTTTTTAAGCTATTCATAACTAAATTCTAAGAGAAATACTAGCATTAGTCTTTTTATCACTCTTTACATGTATTATTTAACACGTGAACTCTATTAACATGATATATTATTATATAAACAAAAAATGACGTATCAAACAGTAAATGCAAAGAATGACAGAAAGAATAACACTGGCATTTTTTAAATCTTAAAACTTTATCATTTCTCTACATCATTCTTAACGCAACTAACCGCTAAAAAATCTTCAGGTCACGTAATTATGTATCAATGAAAAGGCAAGGATTTTCCAAAAGTTGAACAAATAATTTTTTTTTTGGCGGGAAAATTGAACAATTAATTTGAAAGCTAAAAGTTGCAAATTGATAAGTAAAGATTTTAAGATGATGATTGAATAATCTAAGGCCTCGTTCACTTCGCAGATTCGAGTTTTCAATTCGAGCTGAGATATGACATTTTTTAAGAGTTTTTTACTGTAACAGAAAAAGTTAGATGTGACATTTTCTGAAAATTTTTTACTGTAGAAACTTAAAATTGAAAACTCAAATCGGTGAAATGAACGAGGCCTAAATTTTATGAGAGCAATTTGATACACATTCATCAGCGGCGGTGGAGACGGGAGGTAGATAGAAATTAATGAAGTTGTTGGACGGTTAACATCACTTGGAACTTTATTTGATACAAGAAAAACGGGTTCCAAGTGATGTTTACATCAGTCCGAACTTGATAGCATAATGAATGTATTTATATTTTTTTCATGCCTACGCATATAATAACTAGATTTTCATCAATATAATTGTGAAATTTTATCAATAAGAACATGCCGGATTATCGTCCAATAATCAATTGGGTTACCGGCTAAAATATGTGAAAAAAAAAAAGAAAACATCCAATAATCAGTTGGGTTACCGGCTAAAATACGTGAAAAAAAAAGAAAACAAAGAAAAAAAGAGAAAAAAAAGGAGAGGGAGACCAAAACCTCTGTAATCAGAAAAGAAAAGGAATAGTAAAATTTTCCTTAAGTGGATGTAGTTCTTTCGTTAAAGAGAATAGTAAAATTTTTTCCCAATATAGCTCTTTCATGGTGATACACTCCCGGTATTGCTCTTATTTGCATTTTTGTTCACACATATTAGAAGCACCCCTCTGATCTACACAACCAGTTGCACTTTTCTTATTTTTAGCACGTATTTTATTCGATAACCCAACTGACTACTAAGCGATTATCCGACATATTCTTGTCATAAAATTTCACTGTCAACAATTATGAATCAATTTCTTATGTATTAGGCAGATCTTAAAAGAATGCTCTGCTAAAAAAAAAAAAGTCCAAGTGTAAGCAAAAGAACGACAAATTTTTCAGCATTTTATATAGAGGAAAAAAAAGGGAACGTGGAGATCTAGCAAATGTGTAAGATAATCAAATTTGGACAAATGAAAAAAAAAAAATAATGCACATAACAAAAAACAAATCTATGAACACATTGTCTAATATCACATTGCAAAGATACCAACAATACATGACCTTATCTTACGTCCACTTTCACAGCAACAAAATTGTACCTTCCATAACATACATAATCACCACTGATACTACTTTCATTCCTCATCTCAACAAAGAGAAACGACACAAACTCAGATATATACATACGAAAATTATTATATATAAATAAGAAGAGAAAAGACAACAAACGACATCAAAATCAGCGTCGGCAGCGAGTGATTCTGGAGCAACCTCTGGTGGGTGAACTGGGCCTCTGGCTTTGAAGAAATTGTGGGTGTAGTTAGATCTGCCGGAGCGAGGCAGGCAAGGGATTTTGTTCGCCGACAGAGCTCCGTACGATATGTAGTACCTCGTCGTACCTCTCCAGAACAGAGATCTCCGGTCGACGAAGTCGCCGTCGGCGAGCTCGTCGTAGAGCAACATTGTCGTCGGCCACTCCATGGCGTCGCTCATCAGCTTCAAGCTCGTGTCGTCGAGCTGAGTTAAAGAGGAACTTCCCAAGGTGACGAAGATTGTTAGGAAGAAACAGAAACAGAAAAGCTTGAGAGAAGAAGACGCCATTGGAAACGTCTAGAGAGGGAAACAAGAGGAAATGAGTAGTGAGAGTTTTGAGGTTTTGGTGTCTAAATCTATGGCAGATTTTGGGGGGGAAAGAGATCAGGAGAGGGAGAGAGGAGACAGTGGACAGGGATCACACGGAGGAGTGAATTGACGCGAGCCTCGATTATCGCGTTACCACTCTTTGGGCACTTTTCTGCCAGGCTGAGTACAGAGTTGAGTACAGGGTTCAATCTCTGTACTCGTCTTTTGAAATACGTGTGGTTTAGAAGCATCTCAGCCGTCCATCTCTCCGCCGGATCTTTAAGGAAACACTTTCTGAGAAAATCCTTCCCTTCCTCGGAAAAATCCGATGGAATTGCGGGCTCTTCTTCTCCGCCGATTCTGATCAACAACGGCCAAACACTCGCCCCCGCCTTGTGGTCCCACACCGGCTTCCCGGTCGCCATCTCCGCCACCGCGCATCCGAGAGCCCAAACGTCGCACGGCGATTCGTAAACGTTGTCGTTTACCGACTCCGGCGACATGTACAGAGGAGTTCCTCTTATCTCACACTCGTTGACTTTCGTCGCCATCTCTTTCGCGAGCCCGAAATCGGCGACCTTGGCGGCTCCGTTTTGGAAAACAAGGATGTTCTGAAGCTTAATATCGCAGTGGACGAATCCTTTCGAGTGAATGAATGAAAGCCCTTTTAGTATCGATTTCGTGTGGCGGCGAATTTCCAATTCCGACAAACGACCGCCCTGGCTCTTGACTCTGTCTGCCAAGCTTCCTCCCGAGGCGTACTCCATTAAAAGATTGTGGAACTCCTCGCCTTTTTCGACGCTCTGTTCTTCGCCGAAATATCGAATGATTTGGGGGCAAAGTCCAATCGTATCGAGCACTCGCTTCTCGTTCTTCAACGAAGATGAACAACAAGCTTCCGAGGATTTGACGGCCATTAGTGGAGGGAATTGAGAAGATGATTTTGTGGGTGTTGCTTTGCTGATTTTGGCGAAGCTTCCATGGCCGATTTGTTCTCCGCGAACCCACTCCATGAGTATTGAGAGAAAGAAGAAAGTTTGTTTTGCTTGGTTTGCTAGGTTCGAGGAAAAGCAGAGCGGCCCTGTGTCAAAAATATCTTTTATCTTTTAAGTTATTGGCACAAATAGTCCTTCATTTATTTAGTAGGTGACAATTTGATCTCTAATTTTTTTTCTTGACAAATTAATCCTCATCCTTTTAAAATAGGTGTAATTTTAATTTAATTGTCAAGATCTGTCTAAAAATTAACGGAAAAATACACTTTATCTATCATGTGACCATCTTTTTCACTAAAATGATTGACATGTCCACAAAGAAAATAAATTCACACCCACCATCATCTCTGCCAAACCACCACCACCATTACGGCCACCGTTACCAAAACCACAACAACCAGCATTAACCCAACATCGACCGTCCACCCTCTCCACCACTATCTTTTTCCGAGCACCACTATAACTCTTCTCGTCACCACCATCATTAGTCACCTATACTCATCAACACATGAATCTAACAAAGCTAACTAAAACAATTAACAAACTCATATCTACACTCACCAAACAAGCCCAATTTTAGAATTGAGGTCGACGCCCCTTGATTTCAAAGCCGAACAGCCCACAATTGATGCCTTTCTTGAAGAGATTCATCAATCTTTCAATCGAATCAACGACAACATCCAAAATTTTGACAAACTCGGATCAATCTCGCCTAACGAACTACCAAAATTGAGCCCACATCACGAACATCGACGAGCAGGGTCGATGAGGAGAAAGTCGACGCGAAGAAGATAACCCACGCAACAACGACGATGTTTGCACCAGCCATGGCAGCCATCGTAACCCATCCTTATCTACTAAATTGCTACTGGAAGTATCTTTATCGTTGTTTGTGTCTGAAGCCATGCAGCACCAAAATATGCTTAGCAACGATGGTGCTCGACGAGGAGAAGAAGCTCAAACTCATGACAGCGGCGATGGCACTCACATCTGTTTAGCGCTGTTTTCCCTCCATTCACGTGCTCAGCGCCGTTTGTCAGAGAATGGTGCATCATCCCAAAGTGAGAGCCCTCACCGGCGGCCCCGAGCTTCACCAGCCATCCCCATCTTCTCCGATACCATTGTCGACATCGTCTTTAGCCCCAATACGACCAAGGATGTGTTTTTACACATATACTCTAACTTAATGGGTCACGTGAACGCTCATGTGTCTTCTCTCGTTAATTTTTAAACGGATCTTAATGAAAAGAACCAAATTATACCTATTTTAAAAAATTATATATTGATTTGTCATAAAAAAAAAAAACTAAATTATCACTTACTAAATAGGTTAAACACCATTTGTGTGAATAATTTTTCTTTTTTTTTAATTCTCAATTAATAAACTTATTTCTTTGATTTTTATTAATTTTAAAATTATTAATATTCTTTTATATATATTTTTTGAATATAATGGTGTGAAAATTATGTGGCTATTTGTTTTTATTTTTAAAAATATTTTTCACGTTTTCCGAGGACAAACAATTAAAACGAATAGAAAAAATGTGTTTGGTGCAACAGTTTATCAAAATTAAAAATAAAAACGCATTCTTTTCCCATTTGCATCTTTTGATTCAACCCTCTCATGAGCCTCCGCCAGCGACCATCCCCACCGTCACGTCCGAGTCCGGCAGAGGCGGGAGACCCGGAGTCGATGCCGTATAAAATAATCCCGGTGTACAACCTGCTCGCGAACCACCCGTCGTTGCGGTACCCAGAGATTCGAGCCGCGGTGGTGGCTCTACGAGCCGTCGGGAACCTCTGTCGGCCGCTGTTCGCACAATGGCTCCCTCACATGGACCTCCTCGATTGGCTCGCCCTATTCTTTGGCTTCCAAAATGATAGCGTTCAGAACCAGAGGGAGCACCTCATCCTCCACCTCGCCAATGCCCAGATGCGCCTCACACCGCCGCCAGACAACATCAATACACTCGATGCCGACGTCCTCTGCCGCTTCCGCAAGAAGCTGTTGAAGAACTACACCGATTGGTACTACTATTTAGAGAAGAAGTCTAACACATTTGGTTAGAGAATTCAAACCATGTTATTCGAACCATTTTTTATTTACGTGAATTTTTTGTGAGAAAAAATACTGTAACGAACCATGAATCATTATTCGAATCAGGAAACGAATCCCTCTATCAAACATCCTCTTAGATCTCCAACGCGGCTGAAAATCTGAGAATATCTTTTTGCATATGATTGGGTGGCTTCTTGGCTTCACCTTCTCCTATAAACGTCTTCAGAACTATCTAATTATTTAATTAATCACCAAAATCAACACCACACTAATCGTTTATAAAGGCCGCCACTACTACTACTGGTTGCACCTGCACCTGTACTTGTGGGGCCAAGCCGCCGTGGATGGTGGTGGTAGTGGAGAGAGATAGAATTAGTCTTTGTGAGGGAAGGAAAAGGGGAAGGAGATGGAGATAGAGAATTAATGAGATGAAGATGGTGCGGAGATTTTGACAATACTTGACCTGCTGCTGCTAAAAAACCATTGGCATTTTTTTTTTGGTTTACCAGATGCAAAAAGCAAAGATCAGTCTCAAAATCGAGAGATTCTCAGATTTTCAGCTAAATACCCCCAAAGAATCGGAGGGTGGTGACTTTTCTTCGGGTAACATTAGTTTTTGTTCTCCGATTTATTATTTAAAATATTATTACGTATTTTTAAAATTTAAACTATCAAACATAATTTTAAAACACATTTATTTTATTGATTTGAGTTTAAAATTTAAGTTGAGATGTGATTTTATATGAAAATTTTTTTATTATAATAATAAAATTAAATGTGACTGTTTATAAAAATTTTTTACTCTAATAAAAATTCTAAACTCGAATAAGCATTTTAAAGCATTCTAAACTCGAATAAGCGAAACGAAACCTTAATGTGTTTTAATTTTTTTTTAACCGAAAACAATATAGAATAAAACTAGTAATCGTATATCGCACTGTATTCTTCCAATTTTATAAATTTAAAATATTTAAAATTATAACTTCGAAAAAAAGAACCGCATTTTATTGTGCACAACCAAATAAAATGATATTCCTCAAAATCTGAGACAATTTCTATACATCTTAGAATCATATTATTCTATCAATTTTTCTGGTAATATGTATTACTGGGTACCACACGCCCCCTGAATGCGTTTAGATTTGTTTCCTACCTAAGCATAGAACAACTAGATTTTCAGCAACATACTTCCTAACATAATTTTGAATCAATTTCTTATGTATTAGGCAGATTGATTTTACCAAGAATACTCTGCTCGGAGCTAAAGAAAAAAAAAGAAGAAGCAAATGTAAGCAATAGAACAACAAATTTTCTACATTTTAAATCAAAAAGGAAAAACAAACAAATGAGGAAAAAAGAAAAAAGAACAACTTTGGGCTTAGCACATATTTCCTCTCAGCTAGTGGAGATCTAGCAAGTAGCAAATGTGTAAAAGAAAAAAAAATGTAATGCACATAAAAAAAAAAAATCTATAAACACATTGTCTAATATCACATTGCAATGATAGCAACAATACATTACCTTACGTCCAACTTCCAATGGCAACAAAATGGTGCCCTCCCAGAACAAACTCAATCACTACCACTACTTTCAATAATTCCATATTCCAAACAAAGAGAAACGACACAAACTCAGATATATATAAATAGAAATATAATATAATATAATATAATCAAAAAAGAGAAAAGATGTCAAACGACATTAAAATCAGCGTCGGCAGCGACTGATTCTGGAGCAACCTCTGGTGTAAGGGTGAACTGGGCCTCTGGCTTTGAAGCAGTTGTGGGTGTAGTAAGATCTGCCGGAGCGAGGCGGGCAGGGGATTCTGTTAGCCGACAGAGCCCCGTACGATATGTAGTACGTCGTCGTACCTCTCCAGAACAGAGATCTCCGGTCGACGAAGTCGCCGTCGTCGCCGTCGTCCTCGTCGTCGGCGAGCTCGTCGTAGAGCGACATTGTCGTCGGCCACTCCAAGGCGTCGCTCATCAGCTTCAAGCTCGTGTCGTCGAGCTGAGTTAAAGAGGAACTTCCCAAGGTGACGAAGATTGTTAGGAAGAAACAGAAACAGAAAAGCTTCAGAGAAAAAGATGCCATTAGAAACGTCTAGAGAGGGAAACAAGAGGAAATGAGTAGTGAGAGTTTTGAGGTTTTGGTGTCTAAATCTATGGCAGATTTTGGGGGGGAAAGAGATCAGGAGAGGGAGAGAGGAGACAGAGG